AAACGGGGCAAAGCAACCGTGTCCTTCAGCGCCCTCCGTGTCTGCTGCAACCATCAGCTTTCGAAGTGCTGCTCTGATGTTGGACCTTACAGCCAGGCAAACCCGAGGATGCTGGGGAAAGCTGCCTTTTGAGACAGAAATCCATTTTCCTTATGCAGTCACAGTCCTCTGTTCAAAAGTCTGTAAGTCCGAGTGGCTTAATGATGATAATGAATAGATTTAAGGCCAGGAAGGACCACGGCAGGATAGCAGGCTATATCCTACTCTCCTTGTACCGAGCCCAGTTGCAAAGCTATAGGGAGGGAACTTCTGTCCCCTAAGAAAAGCCCAGCCAGCAACTTGCATGTTTCTCAGAGATACCTTGAAATCTTTTGTAATGAGACAAGCTTCTGCTGAAACGGATAAACTTCTTCTCAAGTTTATGCCCAGTGAAAGCAGTTACTGGTGTAAACCTAGGGAAAAAGCCTGTATTTTCTCTTAGTCCTGTAAGTTAAGTCCTCTTAAAAATCTGCTTTGTTCCACAGCAGGACAGCTCAAACACGCATAGCTCAAGACAGACCACAATCACCAGCTGCTAGGTGCATACTTAGAAGAGTGCTCCTAAATAAATCTACAAATGACTTTTATTTGGTTCTAAACCAGTTTGAAATCTACAGAGCAGGCCTCTCTCCTGTCACCCCCAGTGGTGCAAATCACCATAGATAAATGCAGAGAAAAAAAGTAGGAGAATAAACCTTTTAAGAATTACTTCAGGAACATTGCTTTTTTTTTTTTTCTTTTTGTTTTGGTGGTAATGCAGTAACCTAATTTAAGTGAAATCTGTGGTAGTCTAGCAAGAGAAAAACCACTCTGGCCAGAGATGATGCTCATAATCACTCCAGTAGGCAGATTTCCATATTTCTATGCCAAACCGTGACACGTGAAACAGAGGGAGTGCTCTTAGGTATTTTTGTCTCAGTGTCCCACACAGCTCTACCACTGCTGGCAGCAGACTTGCCTATTTGAAATTCCCCTAAGGTAGTTACCCTTACCAAGCACATGTTCCTCAGCACATTGCTCCCAGAAAAGCCAGCCAGAGGCAGGAGGGAAGGCAGCAGAGAAAACTTCAGGAGCTTCTGAGTACTTCTCATTTTAGCAAAGGGCTTGATAAAAAAGAGCATCCAGTAGACCCACATCTAAAACCTGAAGATCAGAACTGTGCATTTCAGTGGAAGTTTTTTCCTGGACTAAACTGCAGTCTAGGTTCTCAGAGGACAGACCGTATGGAGACTGGAAGAGGCAGGTTACTGTGGACAGAGCTGGTAAAATATCAGTATTTAAGCCTGCTTTATATCTCCCTTGAAAGACTCTACTTTCTATTCCATATTTTATCGCCAAACATTAGGCATTTGAACTAAAATTGCCTATGGCTTGTGTCTGTGGCAGTGGATGTCTCTCTTCAGTTATGGGTTATATAGTTCAGATATTAGGGAATGACAACAAAAATAATTTAGTCCACATTAAAAACTCTGACAATCATTGCTTTGGAGTATGAAAGAGGGGTCTATAACCATTGACACTGACCTAAATCCCAAAAAATGGTCAAGAGCGTGGAGCTGGGAGGAAGTAGTGACACCAGTTGTCTGGTCTGGTCTTGTCTATCGCAGCACCGTGCGACACGTCAAACCATCATTCATTTCAGATACCTTCAGAGAAGAGTAGCTGTGAGACCAGCTGGAAATGGAGTTCTGGGAGAGCAGCAGGGGCTCCTTGAGTGTTTGGGGTCGTTGGTCCAGGTCCTGTGAGCCAAAGCCAAGTGGGCTTTTGAGCGTCATTTCCAAGAAGAGGAACCAAGACCAGAAATTGTCACCAGGAAGCATGCCAGAAAGGTCAGAGCACATGCACCGACCTTTCTGATTTTTTATGATATTAAGAGCACTACTGACTGTGTCCAAATCTGTGCTTTCTCCTAAAAGGCAGCCTATGTTCTTTCCACTTGGAAGGTGGTTTAGGAACTAGAATTAGTAGGATAAACAGTTTTAAAGGCTGAATTACTTGTATAAAGGGCTAAGAAGCTCTGCAATTTCCTCTATGCAAACTATTCTATTTAGAAGTAAAAAAAAAAAGGTGTCTCTTTCCTCCAGAAGGAATTCAAAGCCAGAAATCTTGTAAGGGCTGGACATTCTAAGACAAAAAAAAACAACTAAAAAGTAAAAAAACTCCACCCAAAACTCATTAGTGTGAATGTTCAGATTACAATATTCCCTAATGATCTGGCCCAAAAGCATTTCTGATGCAGGCAAAGTATTAATCTGATCATTTATAAATCCAGTAATAGCTTCAGCAAATGCCTTCCTCTCTGCTTCCAAAAGGAAATTCCATAGTTCAGGAATTACCAATGCTCCACTTAAATCTTAACCAAAACTTACCACATTAGTACTAGAAAGCAATAAAGAACATCCCTAAAAGTAAAATGAAGTGCTTTGTTTTGAACGGGATATAGTCAATCATTCAAAAAAAACGAGATGCAGAGAAAAGCACAGCTGGAGTCAAGGCCCTGACAAAAGAGGGACTGCACAGCAGCAGCACAAAGCCCACAATGCCAAAACTGTGCCCTCCCAGGGGCTGAGCCACAAATAACCATTGAGCAACTACTTAGCAGCATGGTCTGGAACACCCAGGAGGGCAGCTAAAACCAGCATTTGGTACCTCAGTAATGGGGTGGGGGGGAGGATGGGGAGGATGAGGCCGCCTGCACATATAGCACCCCTTACCTGGGCTCTTGCAGAATGGCTAAAAAAGGTATGGTAGCAAGTGAGAAATGACACCAAGGAAACAGGATATCATGCAGTCGTTCGTGGTACTCTACAGCATCAAGTAAGACGGGGTCTCAAAACACAGAAGTCTTCTGAGCTGAGGAGGAAACAATCTAATGCTGAAGGACACTTGAAACAACTCCGGGGCTGTGCCGGAGGTGGACGGAGAACAGCCACATCCAACAGCTCATTTGTTTGGATCAGCTGCCTGGGGCACAACAGTGGGGCTCTTGCCACAACATTACCGTGCTGTCTGGCTCCAGCTGTGGTGTCAGATTGAGAGTTTGGGCTTCCAAAAATAAACACCCATCCGTGCGCCCCCTGCCAAATTGCCCGTGTACAACCTTTCCACTCTTCCGTCATGCGGTAAGTTCCTGTGCTGTGGTCAGTCCGTAATCCAAAGGCTCAAAAACTAAAAGGCTAACTAAAGAAATATGAACGTGATTTTCAGACATCTTCACTATCACAGAGCAAGCAGAATCTTTAGCAAAAAAAACCCCAAACCCAAAAACATGAGGCCTCATCCCAAAGATAGCTGGACTAGGTTATATCACGTGCCGTAGAGAACTGTCCCTTCCATTTACACGGAATTTTCCTGTCTTAGTTTCTAAAATGACCCTAGATCCTTCCAGGTGCCTCAGTGTTAAACCCCAAATGATCAGGACCCTGAAAGCTTCTGATTTGCAGGACTTGGACCATTATTTCTTGCTGCCTCTGCCATTTAGTGTTGAGCTATGTCACCCACAGATTCTATGGCTGAAACTATGGTATGTCTCGCATTGCAGGGATCTAAATATGATCTTTGCGTCTCGGACGTGCCTCTAAACGTGAGAAATGGTTGATGCACTTAACCGCCAAACCACACAGCACTGAAGCAGAAGCTGCATTGACCAAGGCGCAGGCAGCTGTCTGAAATTCACAAAGTGAATTTTGGGAAGCTTCACTGCAGCAACAACAGCCAGTAGAGATGAAGATTTCATTATATTGCTGCTGTTTGGTTTAAGAACTGTGTACAAAGGTTGCATAACTTTCTCTTTGAACTTACCCAGCTTTCCCTGTGAGTCACTAATGGGTTCTATGCCTCTTCTCAGTTAAATGGCACCCACTGTTTGGGGAGGGGGGCGGGAGGCGGCAGGGAGAGACATGGTTGCCTGCCTGCCAGTGATTCCCTCCATTCGTGGATGTCTTGCATCTACTTGACCACAGAACCGAAGCCCTGCCAGGCACATTTCAGCCCAACTATGAAAATACGTAAGTCTGCTGTGTCAGTAGTTGTGGGGGGAGAGTTCTGTTCTGAGAACAGGCAAACAGTCACCAACTCATTTCAGCTTGGTGGCCTCAAAGCTTGGGGAGGCTACCATTTTTCTGATAAAATTAAATTCAGTGCATTAGTTTCCAGGGAGGTTCATCTTATATCTAGGGAAACTGTCTTTGCTGGTATAAAACAGCAGTCTTAATCACAGGGGAAGATGGGCAGTAGTAGCTCGGGGAAATGTCTTTAAGGATCTTGTAAAAATTAAGGAACTCTTCTGGCTCTAAACAAAATCCCACAGCTCACTATTGGAATGACCTTCAGTGTTCACTTGTGTATGTATGGGTGGAATATGGTACCAGAACAGTTTGAAAACCAAACAAAACAGTAGTGCAAAAAAAAGCAACTTTGGCCTAACTGTCTGTTGATGTCCTTTTATCAGAGAAACGGAGCTGTAACATAAATCTACAATGTACCTTCCTACCTTCTCTCCCTGCAGGGGAGAAGTGATTGCCGGTGCCTTTTAGAGGAAAGGTCTTAGGCTGTTAGGTATGTGGGGAAGGATGGAGTGAGGAAGAAGAGGAATTTGTTTTAAGAGATTTTTTGGAATATGGTGAGCATCCTTTAAGCAGTAAGCTAAGAATATCCTTCCCCTGATTCCCAATGATAAAATTCTCACTGTGAGATAGAAACCAGACATGAAAAAATGGCACTGCTTAGACTTCGTGCAAGTTCTGCTGTAGAGTTTGTCTTCCTTCAGAAACACTATACAGAAGGCTAATGGTCAGAAAGCAAATACCAATACCATTTCCTCCTCTGTTCACCAATTCTCGGCACAGGAAGCTTTGTGCTAGGAAGGAGAAGAACCACCACCTTTTTGTAGCTGCGCTGGGGCCCTCAGGAGCACAGAAAGAGCAGTGACTCTGGCTGCTGAGGATCACTGGCAGGGAACGATGGGGAGCTCACAGCAAGCTGGATGGCGTGAGGTACCCACAGCACCCGCAAATGCAAGACCTACTTGGAAAGTTGTCAGGAGGACCATGTACACCATTGTTCTGCTCACCATTGCTGCCGTCACAGGAGCTACAGGTACTTCTGAGGGTACTTTGGTACCAACTCTCTGTTAAGGGCAGATGAAGAAAAGGCAATGTAACAGAGTGATGTTTACTCAATTTTTCTCTGGGAAAGAAAAAAATCTAGGGGAAGGGATCTTTACAAATTGTCGAAGGGGCTTCTTGATGGAAAACCAATAACCTGCAAGCCAAAACAATTCTAGTTGCAACTAGATCTTTTCAGTTGTCAACCAATAAGATGTTGAACTTGGCCTTTTCAGTGATTTGATGAAAACTGGTAATGATTTTCTTGGAGTATGATATTTTTCCTTGATAATTAGCAGATTTATTAAAAACATGTTTGATGGAAGGTTTTCTGCTCAATCTGAGCACCCTATCAGGCTTCACTCTTGGGTATCAGTGACTTATCCTGACAAATGAAGTATACTAGGATTTTATGACACTGGATTCAGATGAAAGTTTTCGTAAGACTTAACGGGAAGGTTCTTTCCCCTTTCCAGACTCAGTTAAATACTTAGAAAAGCTAATTCCAAAAACGTGGGATGTGAAAACGGAGCTAAAACCCTTTTCCTCCCTACCCTACAGTAATTTTGCAAATTCTTGTTCGTTCTTGTTAGGACAGGTGAGGCAGGTCACAAGGCAGTGAACTTGAGTCTATCAGGGATCTCTGCATCTAACAGCAAACAGGGATGTGTTTCCTTGCCACTTAAATGTCATACTCCTTTACAATTTCACCTGTCACCACCATAATCAGGGAAATTGGTTCAATATAAGCTTTGGACTGGAGGACAGAAATTGCCGCCTGTGCTTGACCTGATTAGGAGGTCTGCTTATATCCAGCACAAAAGGAGGGTGAATGTCTTCAAACATTCATTCTTTTTGTGCTGTGCTTGGCCGTGATGCTGAGGGAAAAGCAACCTGAGAAACCTCCCCATACAGACGGGCTCTGCTGCTCATTCAGACTCTGCTTCCCAGTCATGTTATTTGTCCACTGTCCTAAGGAGAGAGGACCTTACAGAGGGAGGGAACAAAAACACGGGCCAGTGTATGTGAATAGAGCCATGATTTTGGAGATCTGTTCCTGCCTAAGAAGAGAGACGCAGCGCTTGGGCTGGCACAGACAGGGCCTTACGGTAGCATGCCACTGAGCAGTTATTTCTCTACGAAGCACAAACCAGAACTCCAAGGCTATGAGTGACATCCTCGGGCACCTTCTCACATGTCCTTCTCTTTCTTTCTCTCCTTCAGAGAACACCAGAGTGTCAGTGACAATAGGTAACAGCTTCGTGCTCAACTGCCCTCCCAAATCAAATATAATTATAGTAGCATGGAAAATAAGCCCCAAGATTGGAAGCCCCTGCACCTTGGGATACAGAGCTGATCAGAACAAGACAGACAGAACAAACTGCAGTGACAGCATGGACTGGAAATTCAGACCAGATTGGGATCCTGCCCTTGAGATACGGCAAGTGGGAATAGCCCATGAGGGAAATTACACCTGTGAAGTAGTAGCAACAGAAGGCAATTTCCACAAGACGTATCACCTGACCATGCTGGGTAAGGGACTCCTTCCTCAATTTATAGTACTCCAAAGGACCATGTCTGGGCCTAGACATACACAGCTCCTCTCACCATGCTCCAGAGGAAGCATGCAGTGAAAAGAGGAGTTTCTTGC